GGCCACATCTTCCTCATTTGTTGGAGCTGATCTACAGAAATGCTAAAGGTTTACAGCTGCAGTCACAGGCATCAGGAGCTGGGGTGTGGTTAAATGAAGCGCTACATACAGCCAAAACCTCTCAAAAATTAGATCCTGGTTGGTTCAACCTGTGTGTCCAAAATGAAGGAGTACTTAGGACCTTTCTGTCTCTTGTTTTGCAGCTGTTAAATAGGATTAACTCCACCCTCACACCTGAAAGGATGGCTGAGAAAACAACCTCACTAATAGCCCAGCACTCAGTGCTGAAGCGATGAGCACTAGAAAGAGTCCCTGAAGAAATGGAAAACTGGGATGTCGGAGCAGGCTCTGACTGCAGGATGGCACGGCGATGAGGATAATGCAGCCATCCTAGGGAAGCAACCTTTGTGGAGCAGGAAGTTGTAGAGCACAGGATGTTACATGGCCCAAGGGTGTAAATGCAGTGTGCTTAAGGGAGCTGATTCTGGGATTTCCACGCTTTTGTGTGCCTGACTTAGAGCCCTTGTCATTTATCAGATGTTCAGGGTGTAAAGTACCTGTTTCCTGTACACTGGCATGTTGTGCCCAGTAAGGACGTTGGCGTGATGGGCGTCTGCTCTCTGCTGGGTGGGATGAATTTGGTGGGACTGTGCTTGAGCTCTCCTGCCGCAGCCTTGCTCTCCTGTTCACTCAGCTTGGTGGAGATGCAGTAGCCCTGGCGATGGAGAGAAGCCATCCTGCAGGCTGGGGAAGCTGCCCGCGCCACAGGCAGCACCAGCACGTGCTGGCAGAGCGGGACACGGCAGAAGCTTGTCACCACTTTGATCGCCACCACCATTCACTTAACATCTCTTACCAGCACCCAATCCCACACAAAAGTCTTCAAACTCATGTGGGAAGATAAGAAAATTGCCGCAATTTGCCCAAATATTGTAAGAAATTATTTGCATAAAATGCTACATGCAAAGCAGAAACAACCTCGGTGGTTTACAGGAGCCTGAAGTTGGTAGCTGCTCTGGGTTGGATTTTTTTAAATAGCCCTACGGGCTGAATGGTCATGCAAACCAGGCGGGTGAGATGGATGGGCTGAAATGCAGTTTTGAACACGGCAGCCATAAGCCTGCAGCAGGTGAGAGGGCTGGATTTACAAGGTTTACAAGGAAACTCTAGTGCTCCTCGTTCAGCAGAAGCTGTTTGTGCAGGTGGGACTTAGGGAAATTTCTGGGCTTTGGAGGCAAAGGGACTGGCTGCAGATAGGGCCGAGAAATTCCCCGTGTGCTCTCTGGCCTCTGAGGAGCCCATCTTAGTAGTTTTGTTTTTAAATTTTCCTTATTTAAACCCTGAGAACATAACTTTAACCCATCCTGCAGAGGCAGGATTCAACCTGGACCCTTTCCAACAGAGGTTTGTTCCCAGACACTTCATACGAAGGGCCTTGAATAACTTTCCTGAGCTGCCCCATCCCAAGGTCTTCTTAACCCCATCTCACTTTGAACCTCAGACCTAAACCCTTCCTGGGGCTTCTTACCAAGCAGAAAACAGCTGACTACCCTTTCCATTACAATCAAAGACTGTTCTTTCCTCCCCACCCACTTCCCGCCCCCAATACTTCTCTTGCCTATGCTAAATGGGACCTAACTTCTTCACTCAGCACAAAATTTCTGTGTATTTATCCTTTGTATTGTTTTCTTCTGGACTTCCCCACTTCCAGACCTGGAACTCTGAAAGGGTCCTGGCCTTGCACAGGCAGCGTGGGACAATTGTCTCCTCTGCCTTGCACCCAGCATCTCTGGCTGTTACACAGTCCCTTTCCGACACCTCCATGCTGCTGGCGAAGCTTTGGTTCGCGATGCTCTGCAACCCCCAGATTTTTCCCTGCCATTCTGTTGCCCAGCTGGTTATTCCCCAGTTGTTCTACCTACATCTCACTTTGTTTGACATTTGCATTTGTTCTTGCTGAACTGCATCTTGCTGCTTTCAAACCATTTATCCAGCAGTTGAGATCACACTAAGCCCAGCCTCCAGAGTCCCTGCAGCCACTCTGTCCCACAGGGAATAAGACTCCCTTCAGTGGTGCCCACTGTTATTCAGAAAGGATCAACGCAGAACTGGATGGCCCCATTCTTCCCATAAAAACCTCTGGAAATATCCCTGCTCCACCAAGCTGCCAGTACAGCAGTAACCTAACACTTGTGAGTTCATCCAGTGCCACTGACAGCGATTTCATGTCTACTGTGATTTAGATCAGGAAACCTAAATGATCCTGGGGGAAAGCCAGGGAAATGTTATTAATGCAACCTGGGTCCTGCCTAGCCCGGGGGAGCGCTGTGAAGGCTTTGTCTGCCTTCAGGCCAGGGACACTGTCTCACTGACAGCACACGTTCGTTGCTCCGAGTGACAGGAAACCCTGTAGCCAGCTTGAGGGCGAGCAGTGTGTTCAGGCAAGGAGGGAAGAGGGATGCTCCTCAGCGCAGCAAGATTCAGTGTTCAAACCTCCCACGAGGCTGCTCTTTCCTGAGATTTCCCCTCAACTGTTAATAAAAGCCCAGTTCTGGGCACACCAGGGAGCAGCTCAGAGCTTTTGTCCTGTGGATCAAAGAACAGCCTTTGCCATAGCCACGTCTGGCCAGTTTTGCACTGACAGGGACACTCAGCTTCCCTTCACCGCCTCCTGCCAGCACACCCACTGCTTCCCAACCTCCTCCACTCAGCTGCCGGCCTCACTCGGTACAAAGAAGGATGTGCCCGATAATGGAACAAGGATATTTTTCCCTGGGGAATGAGCTCCTTCCATCCTGCCCTGAGCAACAGCAGCCTGTAGAGCAGGATGGACCAGGAGGTCTCCGAGATCTGCTGGCTGGTAGAGAAGCATGGGTTTCCTTGGGAGAGCGGGAATCCAGTGGCATGCTTCCTGGAAAGGAAGTGCCGCACAGGGTTGCAGAGTTCAGAGGAAGTGTAGCGATGCAGTGAGCAGATGGATGCTTCCGTGGCTGTGCCGCTAGCCGGTGCCTTGGGAGGCCCAAACGCAACGCCCTGCGAGCCCCTCGTCTCACCGATGCCTTCAGCTGCTGCATTCCCAGAGCCGGCCACCCACCCCGTAGTCAGCCCCACGTGGTTCTTGCTTTTGGCATGTTTGCCCCCTTGTTGGCTCCGTGAGCCACAGGGCTGGGAAGAAATGCCGGCAATGCCCACGCAAGCCTGCACTGTGCTCCAAGAGCGTGCTCCTCTGCACAGGTGTTTTCTGGGATGCAAACCCAAAGCTGCCAATACTCTCGCCGTAATGACAACTGCATCTCGAGCACCTTCGCTGTTGCCCTGCTGCTGAGACTGCTCGCCGCTCCTGCACAAGAGAAACTCGACCGAAATGCCAATATGCAAAGGAAACCTGTCAGTGGGAACTGGGAACTGCAGCTTTCCATGGGAAAGGTGCTGCGGATGGGTTCATGCTTGTTTCTGTATCCGCTCCTCACAGCATGTGTGAGAACTTAGCTGCTCCGAAGATGAGTGCTCCCGCCTATGGATGGAGAGCCTGTTGGCATGTGGCCCCAGTTCATCCCACTGGCCCTGGTGACATGAGCACGTCAGAAAGCAAATGACTCCTGCTTTGACATTCCCTGCTGCATCACTGACAATTCCAGAGCCACTAGTGTGGGGTACCCTGAAGGCGCTCCTGAAATACTGATGTCCCAGGGGGCTCAGTCTACTGAGGCTCCTACCAAGGACTGAAGTAGTGCCACACTGCATGGACCAGGGAAGAAACAACAGGGTACAAAGCAGTTTCTTTTTGCTGTCACCTGCATGGGCCATGCCCAAACTGGATGCCGGCAGAGGGAGAATAGCAAGGAAGCAACCCCCCAACGTTCCATAATGCTCCTGTCTCCCAATAGTCCTGTCCCACGTCTCCCGTTGCCAGCTGTGGTGAGAGGGGAGCAGGCAGGAAGTCAGGACAGTCTCACGTCCTTGGGTGTCTAGACAAGCTCATACTGTGGCGTGGAATGAGAATTAGGTCTCAGGTTTAGCTTCGGGGTCCATCGGACCGTTACTTTTACAGCACTTCAGATTGTGTGCCAGGGTTGACATTCCCCTTACGTGTGAGGTGCTGATGAACGCTTAGAAGAGGTAGAGGGCTTTGCCTTACAGAAGATACCAGTCCTACCCAAACTGGGCCGAATGTTGCACGATCCCGAGCCTTTCTTTTTGGGTGGGACAGGTGCTTCCTCACCCACACGCGACTCATCTGCAAAACCAGCGTTAGGTGGCACCTGCTGAGGGTACCCGTCCCCTCCGCGGGACCCATGTCAAGGGTGTTTGGGGCGGCGGGAGCGGGAGGTGGGTGGCTGCCTGGGAATTTCCCCAGCTGGGCTGAGGTGGCGGAGGCTGCCCGGGGCCGGACCGGCCTCCTGCCCACGTAAGGCTGGCACGGCATGCAGCGCCACTGGAATTTCTGGGGCTCCCAGCAGTACCTCCTCCGCACTGCCCTCCTTTGAGGGTCCAGGTTTCACAGCCGGAGCCGGGGCTTTTCTTCCTTTCCATCTCTGCTCTTTGTCTCAGAGAAAACCCATCTCGCTGTTTTTCAACCGCCTGAAGGTGTTTTTCGGGGGTTTTTCAGGCTATTTTGAAGCTCATTTTTCCCAGATGTGCTTTTTTTTTCTTCTTTTTTTTTTTTTTTAAATTTTTTTCTTCTTCTGTAACTTTTCTTCTTCGCCTTAAAGTTTCCGGCCACGTGACTTTCAGCTTACATCCCCGAGGTTCTGAGAAACCACAGGAGGCCGAGACCTAAAGGGAAGGTGCAGAGGCTCCGAGAGGAGAGGCAGAGAAAGTTGCAGAGTGCGAGGCAGGAGGACAGCGTGCCTCCGGAACAGGCGAGAGCCGGGAAGCCAAGGGCCATCTCAGGGGGCACAGAGGAGAGCAGGGGAGAGGGAAGGGAAGCGAGGCAGAAGGGGGGCACACCAAGAGCACAGAGGAAGCTAAAGAGGCCCTGGGAGCCAGAGACGGGAGCCATGCCCCACAGCTCTGACAGCAGTGACTCCAGCAGCTTCAGCCAGTCCCCTCCTCCCAGCAAGCAGGTAAAGTGGGGACGCCTCCCCAGATCTCTCTAGATGGAGGGTCCTTTGGGGTGGGCCATGGGTGGGCAGGAGGAACGGTGGCACCCACCGATGGCGTTTTCAGAGCACAGTATGGCGAGGCTTTCTAGGAACGGCTGTGTGGAGAGAGGGATGCTGGGCTGAGCCAAGAGCCCCAGTAGGAGCCCTGGCCGCTGAGCTAGTGCAGATGGAGAGACGAGGCCTGGTTACCTGGGGCTGTGCCAGGGACAACTGGGGTACCAGGGACTCCTGGGCACGGTGGGTACTGTGATACATGGCAGGAGGCTTCGATGGGAGAGTTGGTGCTCCAGCGAGGAGCCTGAGCGTGTACCTCCTGGCCATGGACCCTCCTCTTCGCCACAGACTGGGATGGCTTGGAGCAGCCT